TCGAAAAATGGGGGTGCCTGAGGTATGGGGACTGATCCCTGCTCTTAACGGGTGGTGGTTTCTGGGGCTCAGCTGAGCACCATGCATGGATGGTGGGGTTCTGTTCACAGGGGTGTCTGCTCCCAGAGAAAGCACGTCCGCATGCTCCACCTGCATGTGTCCTGCCCCGCATGTCTGAGTGTTGGTGTGGTTCTAGTCCTGGCATGGGGGAGACAGGGCGGGGGAAGGACTAGGTGCTGGTGCTGACTGCTGTCCTTTGTACTTGTCCATCTGTCCTGCCCTCCCTTCCCAGGCTGACCTCTGCTCGCCCTCAGATCTCCTCCAGGGCACTGCCCAGGGCCTACAGACCACACTGGAGGCTGCATTGCGGGTGGGGAGCAAGGCCCCTCCGCCAGTCTGGCCCCCTTCTGGTCTTGGCGGCTTCATCCTCTTCTACGTGGCCTTCATGCTGCTGCTCTATGTCATCTACACTCGGCTTCTGGGTTCCTAGGACTGAAGTCACCTCTCCCCTTCCCCTCTTCTATTTATGACTCCTACCAACCCTGTCCCCACCAGTGGTGCCTTCAGACCCTACCAAAGACACTAGTGTCCTCCCTTATGAACACTGACCTCAGAGCCCCCTCCTCTGGTGTGCCCAGACCTTGGGCAGAGCCTTTGGCCTCCTTCCTGTAGCCCCTCCCTGTCTCTGCTGATGGTGCCTTCATACCCTCTCCCACCCCACCCCACCCATGCTATCTGCCCCCCAGGGGCACTTGGATCTTTCCTTCCACCCCCACTTGCTGCTATGGGGGCCTAAATTATCTCTGTTTTGTAGAGAGAATTCTATATTTGTAGGCCATGCGGGGGCCCAGGCTGGGCCTCTGGCTTTGTGTATAAACTGTACAGACTAGCTGTGTGTGCATGTGTGTTTTTGTCTGCTCCTGCTGTGCCATGCGGCCATGTGCCAGCCTGAGCCAGCACTGCCCTGTCCCCAGCCTCCTGTCCCCGACGCCCTGTCCCTGACCTTCTGAATCCCTGATCTCCTGCCCCTGCCCTCCTGTCTCTGGCTTGACCCCTGTGAGCTCTGTGCTGCTAGCTGTGTGGCGCCTTGGCCCCCAGGGGGCTTTGTCTGGCGGGAACCCCCTCCCCCGTGTGGGGAACCGGACCTGACCTGGCCCTCCCCCCAGGAGTCCCTGTGCCAGCCCCACCACATCCTAGAAGACGAGGGGGGCCCGGGCGGGGGCCTCCCCCACATCGCCGCCGTGGTCCGCGCGCTGCTGGAGAGCCCTTAGGGGTGGAGGTGTGGAAGATGCCAGGCTTCTGCCCGAAACCAGGACTTGGCGGGGGCGCCCTGTGCCCTTAGCCGCTGTTCGGCAGGGCTGGGCCTGGGTGGGAGCCCCGCAGGTGCGAGAGCGCAATAAAAGGCCCACAGCCCTGGGTCGGCCCTCAGGTGTGCGTGTCTGTGGGTGACCAGCGCGCGTGCGTGCCCCGATCTGCGAATGAGCCAGCGCGCGTGCGTGCTCTGCTCTCTGAGGGGGCCAGAGCGCATGCGTGCCCGCGCGTGCATGCTCGAGTCTGTGAGCGAGCAGTGCGTGTGCACGTCACGGGCCTGCCCAGCCCCACCGCCAGGGGGCGCGCTGGAGGCAGCAGAGGCGGGGAGCCACACGTGGCGGGAAATGCGTGGCTGGAGCCGCGCAGGCGTCGTCGTCGTGGGCGACGCCTGGGAGGGAGGCGAGCGGCCTCGTGACTGAGGGCTCAGGCCTTGCTCACTCCCACTCAGTATGCTGTCCTGGCCGTGCGCGCCCCAGGGCGCGAGCGACGGGGGCATGGCGGAGGTGGGCGTGGAGGAGGGAGGCAGGGAGGACGCAGAGGAGCCTGGGGGGGAGGAGGACGCGGAGGAGCAGGATCCGGGAGAGGAGCAGGAGGAGGACGCGGAGGAGCAGGGAGAGGTCGCCGAGCAGCACGAGCAGGGCGGCGGGCAGAGCCCGGCCTGGAGCCCTGGGGAGCCGGCGGACGCAGCTTGGGCACCGGCCAGGTGAGGACGGGCGCTGCCACGGCGGTGGAGGTAGGGGGAAGCACCCCCGGGGGGAGGCCCGCCGGGTGTCCCCTGCGCACCCCGGCAGCGCGTCTCATCCTCCCTCCCCAGCCTCCATCTCCAGGCCTCCAGCCCCTTGCACTCGCGGGCCGGGCCCTGGGTCCAGCAGGAGCTGCTGCCGCGCTGCCCCCCACATCTGGTGACCGGGGAGCCCCCAGCAAGTCCAGGTAGGCCCGGGCCTTGCTGCCTTCACCCAAGCCTCACCCCCATACTTGTTTAATCTTTCCCAGTCCTGGGGCTTTGAACTCAGGGCCTGGGCACTGTCCCTGAGGTCTTTTCACTCAAGGTTGGTGTTCTACCACTTGAGCCAGTGCTTCACTTTTTGCTAGAGTCTCAAATACTTCTCTTACAGACTTTTTTTTTTTTTCACAACTCCACTTCTGTTTTTTTTGGTGGTTCCTTGGAGATAAAGAGTCTCATGGACTTTCCTGCCCAGGCTGGCTCTGAACCCCAATCCTCAGATCTCAGCCTCCTGAGTAGCTAGGATTACAGGCGTGAGCCACCAGCACTTGGCCTAAAACCTTTTATTTTTAATGTGGTACTGGGACTTGAACTTAGGGCCTTGCTTTTGCTAAGTTTGTTCTCTACCCCTTGAGCCTCACCTCTAGCTGGTGGGCCTGTTCTAATCTTTTCAAGTGTGCCCCTGCAGTCCCACCTGCCCCTAAGATGACTTGGGAGGTGACCTCTTCAAGGACGGCTGTTCTGTCACCGTGGGACCCTAACTATGAGTCTAAAACGAGATCTCATCTGACTTGGGTAAGTTGGGGAGACCTTGTGGCTCTGGCTTGGAGTGGCCCAGGTGTCTTGAGAAGAGTCGGAGGCTCCAGTGACCTTTCCTGCCTTCCACAGGGGCCCGGCTGTGGGTCAGGTGCCTCCTTCTCTAACCGGACCATGTGTCATCCTTCTTTCTACCCCTTGTATGAGGCAGCTGGCAGGGGGTACCCTCAGCCAGCGCCTCCCGGAAGGCATCATCATAATGGACAATCCATGCCCAGGGATGCAGGTACTTCCTGCAACTCCCCTCCCTATCCCCCGGTGCTGCACAAATCCCACTGTACTGCTTCCCAGCGGGAGCCCCCAGGCCACACACACCCTGCCCTCCCAACACACACACACCAGGCTCTCCTCCCCAGGAGTCCCAGTGATGTGTCGGGAAGACTTCTTTCTCTTGGATCCTCTGCTGCCACATGGACAGCGTGTTCCTCTGTACCTGGCTGAGCCTCCTCATCAGGTGAGATCGAATCTCTCTCCTGCCCAGAACCCTCACACACACATTCCAGCCTCTGCACAGGACCATTGCCCCCCTCTCTTTTCAGGCCATGCGCCCCATGAAGCTGCTGCTCCTGCCACCTGTCATGACCCCCTGGGTATATCCCTCTGCACCCCAGGGCAGTTCCACCACAGCCTGGCTCAGCGGGCCCGAGCTGATTGCCCTCACCGGCCTGCTGCAGATGAGCCAGGGAGAGCAGAGACGCAACCTTGCAGAGGTTCCCTTGGCCTCCACTTCCACCAGCCTTCCAGAGTCCAACTCCAACCCTCAGGAGACCAGTGGTCATCAGAGCTGCTGTGATAGCACCGGCTCGTCTGTCACTCAGGGTCCAGACTCCCACTGTTCATAATGCACACCCCCCCCACCCCCCCAGCTAGTGCAGTTTCCGCTCGCCTAGCCTGATATATTGACAGTAAAATAGCAATGGTGCACACACGTCTCCTTGTGGCAAATGGCAGGGGGGACATGGAGGCAGGGATGCGTCTCTTCTTTTTTACTGGTTGTTCCCGTGCTGTAGGGTGGGAAATGTAAAGACAACACGAGCGTACTACTGAACAGGGCACTTTTATTGGGTAGATCGTTCAGTCCATAGTTCAGAGGTGGGGTGGATCTCGAGCAAGCAAAGACTTGATCAGCAATGCCAGGCCTGGGAGGTCTAGGCACATTGCTCAGGTGCACATTGCTTTTGGGGAGGACACTCATAGGATCCATGGGGTTGGTCCCAGGAGTTCAGCCTTTACACTGGATATGACTGGATGAGGATTAGGTTTATTTACTTATTTATTAATGCCAGTCCTGGGACTTGACCTCAGGGCCTTGGTGCTGTCCCTGAGCTTTTTTTTTTGGGTCCAGTTGTGGAGCCTGAACTCTGGGCCTGGGCGCTGTCCCTCAGCCCTTCAGCTCAAGGCTAGCGCTCTACCACTTGAGCCACAGCACCACTTCTGGCTTTTTTCTTTTGGCTTATGTGGTGCTGAGGAATCAAACCCAGGGCCTCAGGCATGCAAGGCAAGCGCTCTACCACTGAGCCACCTTCCCAGCCCCTCCCTGAGCTTTTTTGAAAGCTGGCCCTCTACCACTAGAGCTAGTCCTCCACTTGCAGCTTCTTGGTAAATTGCAGATAAGAGTCTCACAGACTTTCCTGACAGGACTGTCTTCATACCACATTCCTCAGATCTCAGCCACCTGAGTTGCTAGGATGACAGATGTGAGCCACCAGCTCCCAGCGGAGGGTTCAGAAAACTTAACAAAGGCACTGCTGGTATGGGGGCTGAGTTGTCAAAATTGAGGTGGGGCAGCTTGTGTATGTGGGGGGGGGAGGGGAGGGATAGTGGTTCTTCATAACTTGGCCACAAAGGCAACCTGTGACTGCTTCTATTAAGAATTCTGCAAAGAAGCCGGGCGCCAGTGGCTCACGCCTGTAATCCTAGCTACTCAGGAGGCTGAGATCTGAGGATCGCGGTTCAAAGCTGGCTCAGGGCCGGAAAGTCTGTGAGACTCTTATCTCCAATAAAACACTCGAAAACCGGAAGTGGCGCTGTGGCTCAAGCGGTAGAGCGCTCACCTTGAGCTGAAGAGCGCAGGGACAGCGCCCAGGCCCAGAGTTCAAGCCCCACGACCTACCCAAAAAAAAAAAAAAAATTCTGCAAAGAAACAGGGTCAGGAGTTTAGCTGAGAAGCACCAGACTTGTGTAAGTTATTGGGGGAAGGGGTATAGACGTTCTAGAAGTTTCTTTGAAAGAATCGGATTTGGGGGGCATCTGTGCGTGAGGATTTCTTGGGAAACCCCGCGAAAGGAAGTCAAGGGGCAGCAGAGGGTCACCGCCAGGTCACATCCTGCTGCCTCAGGGCCTGGGGAGCAGGAGGACGTTAGAAGGCGGGGAGTGGAGGTCAGGGGCACATTAGTAACTTTGGCTCTGTTTTCTGTTTGCTGTTTCTCACCTGAGCCTGGGAAGGTTCTAGAACTTGATTCTCACATAGGCGTGAGGGCGGGCCCTAGGGGCGTCCCCGCGGACCTCCAGGGGAGGGACCAGGTCCAGGTCCATGTAGCTGAGGCAGCTGTCGGGGGTGGGCGGCTGGGCCTTGGGCTGGACGCCCGCAACCCCCCGCTCCCGCACCAGCCTTGTCCAGGATGGAGCGCAGGGTCCTCCGGGTCTCGCGCTGTCGGTGCTGCGGCGCGGACCCCGGGGAGGGGGCGCCAGTGGGAAGGGGTTCATGGGCACGTACTCTGCGCCCCGCACGTGCCCGGCGGCCACGCCGGCGTCGCGCGGGCGTGCCATCCACACGTAGTCGTCCCCCTCGCAGCTCCCCACCATGTGCACGTAGTCGTCGGGGGCCGGGTCCTCCGCGGCGGCGGCCCCGGCCCGGCCCGGCGCGCCCGAGCGGGAGGCAGCCGGCACCAGCCGCGCCAGGGACCGGAGCGTCGCCTGTGCCTTCTCCCCCAGGCCTCTGGGCCGGGGGGCGGGGGCCGGGGTCTCATAGGGCGAGAGGGCCGGGGGCGCGGGGGAGCCGGCCGGGCCGTCTCGGGGCAGGGGCTCGGCCCCGCCGCCCAGTCTCTTCATGGCGGCCAGGACTGTGTCGTGGATGCTCCGGGCCACCACGGCGTCGGGCGCCTGCAGCCACAGCTCCCCCGGCCCGGTGGGCGCCGAGCGGCCGAGCTCCAGGAAGAAGAAGGCGTCGGCGTGGCCGCAGCGCCGCACGCTGAGCAGGGACAGGCGCAGGGCGGGCGGCGGCGGGGCGAGGCCGGCGCGGGAGCCGCGGCTGCCGGGCTTCCGCAGCAGGCTCAGCGCCCCCGAGCCCAGGCACAGGCGGTAACTGCCGCCGCCCAGGCCCCGCAGGCTCCCCAGCCCCTTGGGGCGCAGCGTCACGGGCCACACGTCCTGGAACGGCGCGAGGATCCAGGTCCCGGGGTCCTCGTGGGTGGCAGAACCTAGAGAGACAGCGGGCGGGTCAGGGGTGTGGGGGGGGCCATTGCACCCCCAAAGCCAACGCTTAGTGTTTGGACTTTGACCTAGGAGGAGTCCGGGGCAGGGGCAGACTCCCCCGGCGGCGCGGCCCCCTCCCCGCTCGCGCGCCCCGGGCCTCACCGGCGGCGGCGCGGGCGCTGCCTGCGCCGGTGGCGTTGGCTGCGCTGGCAGCGTTAGCGGCGCCCGCGGCTTTGGTGGCGGCGGCGGCGGCGGCGCGCACCTGGAGCAGCGCGCTGTACCAAGCCTGCTGCTCGGCCTCGCTGGCCGCCGCCACGCCCAGGCTGCTGTCGCCGGTGTAGACGACGATCAGGTGGCGCTGGCGCGCGTCCGAGCGCTTGCTGATGGTGCAGGCGCCCTCCAGGCTGACGCAGCGCCGGGGCCGCGCGGGGCGGGCGGCGGGGTCGGCGGCGGCGGCCGCGGCGAGGAACTTCTTCTCGCTCTCGTAGCACTCGAGGCGCGGCGGGTTCGCGCGCAGCACGAAGAAGCGCAGGCGCTGGGACTTCTGCTTGCGCAGGTGGCCGCAGAGCCACACGTCGGGCGGGCAGGGCGGGGAGGGCGGGCCGGGGGCCGCCTCCGTGTACCGGGGCTCCGGGGGCGACGCGGGGCCGCTGCTCGTCGGCTCCATCCCCGATCCACGGCGAATGAAGCAGGGGCCGAGGGAGGGTGGCTCTGCGCGGCTGCTCCGGGGATGGGGCGGTGCCGTCGGGCGCGGCGCCCCGGCCCGTGGCCACCCGGCCGGCTTCTGTCCCCCACTGGAAGTCGAGGCAACCTCCCCGGTCTAGGACACCTGGACTTCTAAGGCCGGCCCAGGGCCCCTCCAGCCGGCCGCGGCTCGAGTCCCCACCTCCCCTGCTGGGGGGCCATCCTCAGCCCCGGCCGGGAGTCTGACCCCGCCACCAGCACCCTAGGGACCGAGTCTTCGGAGGGGCGGGGAGCGCGGGGTCATCTCCACCAATGGGCGGCCGGGCTGCGGGGGTGGAGGGCCACGCCTGCCTGAGAACGAGACCCAAAGACGAGGGAGCTAACGATTAGAGGTGGCCCCAGCCGCCGCTGTCACAGTCCCTCCAGCCCCTGGGCCTCCAGGCGTCGGTTCTCTGTGTACCCGCCGCTCCCCTCCCCGCTTCCCCAGGTCTCATTGCATGCCCCCTGCCAGCCGTGGCTGCTGATGGGGGCGCTAAAGTCGGAGTTTCGGGCCCAGTTCCCATCCCCCCTCCCCAGGGGATCCGGGTGTGAGATGTCTTAGGATAAACTTTTGGGTCAGCCCCTCCTCACCACCCAGAACCAGCTCAAAGTTCTGAGAGCCAAAACGCGGGCTCTGCTTTGTGGAGGGCGTCTTGCATCCTGAAAGTTTGGACAGCACTGGACATTTTTTTTCCCACCTTCATTCCGAGCCCAGGAATACTGGCTCAGTTGGGACTGGGGTGGCATTAACCAGGGCACATTTTTCCAGACAAGCCGCAGTGGACACACAGCATGGCACTAGCCATGACCCATCCCCATGGCATGCAGGATTCCTGCTGGGAGAAACTGATGGTCTAGGAAAGAGGCCAAGTGGTGGCCACTGCTGCAGAGGTTAGTGCCTGAGGGCTCTCTGGGGTAAGGAGCTGGGATCCCCTAACACTTTTCCAAAAGCCATGTCGAGGGCAGAATCAACCAGCACCCCAGGGATGGGTATTTGGTACCCAGGGCCTGATCCAGGTACTTTTTAGTTAAAGTACCACCCAGGGCCCAGCCCTGGGTGCAGGGATGGCCATGGTGCCTGTCTAAGGGTATATGCTGGATCCCTGATCAATCACCCAAACATTCAAGGCCCTGGGGCTTACGTGTGCAAGATGTCAGCACCTCTGTCTCACAGCAGCCACCTCAAGGAACAGGATGTCTGCAGGGCTCTGGCCCTGGTGCTCTAGGGGCTGGAAGCCTTATTCCCCCAAGCTTGATTTGAAGCTGGCCAAGTGCCTCATCCTGCCTTCTCTTCCTGCCTCCCTCAGTCCGATGATCTTTCAACACCTGTCCTTGTGAAATCACAGCTGCTTTCGGAGACAGCTGCAAACAACTTTGTGTCATCCTGCCCTGAGGTGTTGGGTAAAAGATAAAGCAGGAAGCGGTAGCAATTCCAGTGCTGGGAGTGTAGACAAACAGAAGGTGGGAGGTGTGGGGGGCAGCAATAGTAAACAGAACCAGGTGATATGACTTCCCCAGGTACCAGGAAAAAGCCTAGCTTCTATCAGTTGCCCTAGCAACACTGCCCTCCATCCTGTCCAGACAAGATTAATATAGCTGATAGTCCTGGTAACTCACATCGTTCTCCAGGGACAAGAAGTTTCAGAGCCTCAGCTCTGCTAGCAGTCCCCTTCCTTTCTACCTTTGCATTGTGTGCAAGGTCCAGGACAATACATTCTATATCCCAGTGGAAGAATCTTGTGCATGTGTGTGCATTCATGCATGCATCTTTGTGGGTGTGTCTGTAATTGGGGCTTAAATCTGGGGCCTGGAGCTTGGGCTTGCTTTTTTATGCTCAAGGCTGGTGCTCTATTATTTAAGTCACAGCTCCACTTGCAGCTTTTTGCTGGTTAATTGGAGAATAAGTCTCTTAGATTTGTCTGCCAAGGATGGTTTTTTTGTTTTTTGATCGTGGGGCTTGAACTCTGGGCCTGAGCGCTGTCCCTTAGCTCTTCAGCTCAAGGCTAGCGCTCTACCACTTGAGCTACAGCGCCACTTCCGGTTTTCTGATGTGGGGGGGAGGGGAGGGTTATTGGAGATAAAAATTTCACAGACTTTCCTGCCCGGGCTGGCTTTGAACCGAGATCCTCAGATCTCAGCCTCCTGAGTGGCTAGGATTAGAGGTGTGAGCCACCAGTGCCCAGCTGCCAAGGCTGGTTTTGAGCTAGGATTGTCAGCTCCCAGCCACCTGAATAGCCATGGTTACAGGAGCAAGCCACCACTCCAATAGCAGCCATAGGCTGCCATTGGAAGAATGTCACCAGGGGTAGGAAGCCACAGGGACCTGGGCTGTCCCATGTGACCTCTCACTCCTCTGTGGAGGGCATGTGGGCACAGAGCCACACAGTGATCCCTTCTCCCTCTCAGCCTATGGCTCTTAGATCGGATTTGGTAAGCTGTGCAGACAGACTCCTGGGGCTACACTTTCTTCCTCACTTGAAGCACCTATACAGGTGGTCAGTTGAAGACTGGACTGTCATCTGCAGAACGTGACCACAGCCTTGGCCAGAGGCATGTGGTAAGGGAAGAACTTGGCCAGAAGTCTGATATAGGCTCGGGTGAGTCACTTCCAGTCTCGTGGTGCGCATGTGCCTACATGCAGTGGGCTTAGATCTGCAAACCCCAGGCCAGGCCACGCAGCAAAGAAACCAATCCAGTCCTTTAGCCACTTTGTGTCAGACCAGGGACTTTTCCTAGTTCTTTTGCCACTGACCATGAGTGGAGTGGAGGTGGAGGGGGCTGGGGCTGCCTGTGCCAAGGGGGGCAGCTGCGGGCTGCAGCTCAGGCGGTGCCCAGGGAAACATTTTGCATTTCTGCCCTGTGAAACCGGCCCAGTGCAACTTGGGACTGGTCCTCCAGCCCTGGCCAGTGAGCTGGCCTGAGTCCATGTCGGACAGAGGGACTAGAGGCTGCAAGGAGTCCTAGGCCCAGGGAGGAAGAAGTCTCTGGAACATGGCTTATGACCAAAACGGCGAAAGCTGCCTCAGCTCCTGACCCCTGTGGGCCTCAGTGCTCTGGGTTAGGAAAGAAGGAAGGAGGCTCTGGGGTGGACACACCGCTGCCCTTCCTACACCCTTGGCATTCTGGCTTTGATGGCCCAGGCACAGATCAGGGTCCACTCCATTCCCTAAGAGAGGAGGGAAATAGGGTGCTAGCACCACACCAAGGGTAGCAGATGGCAGAGAAAAATACCAGAAGGGGAAGAGTATGGGAAAGAAAGCCAGAGAACAAAGGGTGCAGACCCACCCTCCCCCGCCAGGAGAGGGAAGGAGGGGAGAGGCTGGGTGAGTGGGAACCAGATGGGGACAACTCTTGGCATCAGGGAAGCACAAATTTGGCTGGCCAAATAGCAGCTAAAGATCTTTCCAGAAAAGTCAGTGAAGGAAAGAAACGGAAGGCCTCAACCCCTCACATTCCTTTGCCCAGAGAAATGTCAAGAATGAACAGCTAAAGGCCAGAGCCTGTGGCTTGAGTTCTAGGTCTTTCCTCTGCTGGGGGAGGGGAGGTATTTGCCCCATACCTCTGTCTTGTCGCCAGACTCATTGCCCAGACACCTGGTTATTTTCTGAAAGCGTCAAGTGGAAATGTGTGAAGGTTTGGATCCATGCATTGGTCCAGTCTGTTCCCCAAGTAGTACCTGCCACACCCCCACCCCACCATGGTCCTGAGATCCAACCCCAGCAGGGCAGCTCTCCAGGCTCAGGGCCCCAGGTTCTGCCTGCCACTGGGTCCTGTCCTTGGCCAGTCTGCTTTGGTCATCAGCCCAGTCCAGCAGAACTTAGCCAACACTCAGTCACGTTGAGCTGACCTGTGGCCCCTCAAGGTGGCCCCAAGCAAGACTCCTGAGTCACTTTTTCTTTCAAATGTAGTTCTTTTTCAACATTGCCTGCGATGAGCTTTGGTGCAGATTTGGGGGAGAGAGGGGAAGAAGGAAAATGTGGAAAAAGAGAACATAGTGGGAAAGACCCAACCAATTGCGCAAATCTTTTCCTAGAGAAGCTCTGGGGTGACGAGGATACACATTTGCCCTTCCCCCTTCCCTGGGGTTCCCACTTTCATGGTCCAGACATAGATTAGGGGTTTATCCCCTTCTCCATGTTTACAAATTGGCTGGAACTGGGCGCTGGTGGCTCGTGCCTGTCATCATAGCTACTCAGGAGTCTGAGATCTGAAGATCATGACTCAAAAGCCAGCCCAGGCAGGAAAGTCTGTGAAACTATTATTTCCAGTTAATCATCAGGAAACTGGAAGTGGAGCTGTGGCTCAAGTGGTAGAGTGCTAGCCTTGAGTAGAAAAAGCTCAAGGACAGCTCCCAGGCCCTGAGTTCAAGCCCCAGTACTGGCACCAAAAAAAAAAAAGCAGCAGCTGACGGAGATAATGGCTAGGGTGTGCGTGTGTGTGTGCATATATATATATATATATGTGTGCATATATAATAGGCTATATTAGAAAATTCTCTTTATGTATAAATATAAAACACTGGTATCCAAACACGACACCAATAGCTGACTAAAGTGCTTGGAGGGAGCTCTGCATGTGGAACCTTCAAGTAAAGCTATGCATCCTGAGCGCCAGGATGGCAGAAGCTGGCGAAGCAAAACAACACGGGGGAAGGAAGGGTGATGCTCAACTGGGCACTAAAGGTACCAGACACTGGCCTTCTCAGCTCTGGTCTCACCACCATCAATGTCAACAAACACCTTGTCTTTACTTTCTTCCCTGTACTGGCTGGGGGGAACACAGTGTTGGAAGGCTGGGAAGCACTCTTTCCTGCCCAGTCAGGTCCTGCCAACTTCCTGTTGGTCCAGAGTGAAAGAAGCATCATCAGGTATGTGTGTGCCAGGGGCAGGAGAGAAAAGTTATCATCATCATTAATAATTCAACAGCCTGGCGCATGTGGTGTAT